TCTCCCACTTCACTTCCTGTCAGCTCTGATCTGTCCTATCATAATAAAGGCAAAAATGGCAAAAATAAAAATCTTTTTTAAAAATGTCATCAAATTATTCTTTTTTTTTTTTAAGATTAAGTGAGTGTTAGATGACGGCATGAATGTAATCTAAATATAAATATAGAGATGATGAGCAAACACAATTAAATATACATTATCAACCAATACGGATAAAAGTAAAAAGTTAATCCAGATGTTCATGTTGCTACCTACCTTTCTGATGAGCTTATTACAGATGGGCAGTAAATAGACCACCACTGTCAAGATGCCTTTGGTATTCTGTATGGATGAGTCGACCTGAACGAGACAAGAAAAACAGATGGATCATTAGCTGACTAAACTTCCCAAAATACAGTTTTGCTAACAAGTACACCATGTACGTCCACATTTCAATCAAGCTATAATTTTGCAGCGACAACAATCTATACATTTCTGACAGGTGATTTGTGGAACAGACTGGTTCACATATAATTGGTTTTTGCGAAATAATATGCTTGGAAACCACGCGAGGGCTCCTGAAGACATGCTGGGAGATCCTGATTGAGCTTGTTTTTCCGGAGATCGTTTTTTTGGTTCCACAGCACGACACGAACACAGCCTCTATAACCCTATTTAAACCTGCCTCCGGCTGTGACCTTTGCTTTATCAAAACAGAAGAATGACCCTGGACAGCCTGCCATTTTATCAGGTTAAATGGAGTCAGGAAATAGAGTAAGGTCAGTGTCTTTGCAGGAGAAACAGATTTATTATCTAATCACATGTGGCAGTGACCTGTGACTTTAAACTTTAGTTTATATTGTTCTCTTTAAATGTCTAAATTAAGATGAATCGATATAATTTGAATCCTCAGATTCTAAATTATGAATTTAAGTGCATTAATGGATTAAACTGTCAAGTCAAACAAACAAAAACCCTACTCATGTCTGCTCCATTCACTTATGTACAAGAACAGTCTGTAGCAGTTATACTCGATTACCTTCTGAAAGATGGCGCTCTTGCCCTGAACCGGAGTCTTGGCACAGACCTGCAGCTGTTGACATGCGGCTGACAGCTTCTCTGTCTCAGATAGAATAAGGATTCTGTCTTCATCCAGCAGCTATAACACAGACACAATATGTGGCCTTAACATTTAAAGTAGAACATTTGAGAGATGAGGAATCTAAACAAACTTTAACACATCAGCTCTTTTGCTTAAAGACTCAGTTTCTACATTAGACATAATTTTTTATGATGTTCTTTAAATATGCAAAATATGAACATGACAGGCTGAACGGGACCATTTTGTAAATTCAGTAAAAACAAGCTGATAGACTACACTTGTGGAAGTGGCTTTATTTTGCTTTAGAAGTTACTTTTTCATTATACATCTATATATTAAATCATTCTCAATATAAGGAGAAAAAGCTGTTTTCAACATTGATAATAATAAGACAAGTTTCTTGAGCACTAAATCGGCATATTTGACTGATTTCTGAAGGATCATGTGACACTAAAGACTGGAGTAATGATGCTGAATATTCAGCTTTGCCATCACAGGAATAAATTACATTTTAAAATATATTAAAATCGAAAATGGTTATTTTATATATATATATATATACATATATAGCGGTGTTTTGTTTTGTATCCATATAGCATTGCTTTCCTTTCTACGATCCTTTCAGGACTTCCTACGGCAAGGACAAATTTAACAATCTAATAGCTCTAATTGAGACTTTCACCCAAAACTGCATTACAGGTTTGCCAAAGTGAGGTAATTGCTGAATTTGAACTGATGGATAAATAAATGGACGTAAGCAATTTGTATTAGCCATACTCTGCTTGCAGCTGGGGAAATGCATTGTGGGTCAGGCATGTTTAAGATTATTAATCAAACCGTGCAGTGCACCACAAGTGTCAGGCTCTGTGATTATGGATGAGTGGCCCCTGTTGGCCCCAGCCAGAACAGGGTTAACTAACACTGATAGCCACGTCTCTGTGGTCCCAATGAGATGGATGGCAGTCATTACAGTCCTTTAT